CTTTACACTTATCACAAACAACAGAATCTCAGGTCTCTATGTACGTGGAATCAAAGACTGAAAAACAGATGCATGATGAAGATGACTCTGATCAGGTCTCCAATCACTCACAGATTGTCAACATCATGGCAGAAATGTACATCCTAATCATCACCATAGGTAATGTCACAAACTAATCATTTCATATCTTTGGTCTTGTCATTCGCTGATATTTAAAGTCAGATACAAAAAAGCACTTTCCTATCTGATCCAACAGGACCCTTCAGGGCGGATCCAGTATTTTGGAGTTCTGCAGTGTGTGTGTGCGCACATAAATCATAAAGTCCAAAGGTTAGGGGGAAATGCTCCCCCTTCTAGATCTGCCCCTTCTTTTTACTATCTCATCATTCAGAGCTCTTTCTTTACTTCCTGAACTTACATAACCCTCGACTAACTGAACCAACAGAGCTGTTTATTATCTGAACATACAGAGCCCTTTCTTTACCTCCTGAACTTACATAACCCTCGACTAACTGAACCAACAGAGCTGTTTACTATCTGAACATACATAACCCTCAACTAGCTGAACCAACAGAGCTGTTTATTATCTGAACATACAGAGCCCTTTACTCCTTACCTCCTGAACTTTACATAACCCATAACCCTCGAGAGCCCAGAGCTACTAACTCGAACTGAACCAACAGAGCTGTTTACTATCTGAACATACAGAGCCCTTTTACTTCAACTAGCTGAACCAACAGAGCTGTTTATTATCCATACAGAACTTGAACATAACCCTCGACTAACTGAACCAACAGAGCTGTTTACTATCTGAACATACAGAGCCCTTTCTTTACTTCCTGAACTTACATAACCCTCGACTAACTGAACCAACAGAGCTGTTTACTATCTGAACATACAGAGCCCTTTCTTTACCTCCTGAACTTGCATAACCCTCAACTAGCTGAACCAACAGAGCTGTTTATTATCTGAACATACAGAGCCCTTTACTTCCTGAACTTACATAACCCTCGACTAACTGAACCAACAGAGCTTTTTACTATCTGAACATACAGAGCCCTTTACTTCCTGAACTTACATAACCCTCGACTAACTGAACCAACAGAGCTGTTTACTATCTGAACATACAGAGCCCTTTACTTCCTGAACTTACATAACCCTCGACTAACTGAACCAACAGAGCTGTTTACTATCTGAACATACAGAGCCCTTTCTTTACTTCCTGAACTTACATAACCCTCGACTAACTGAACCAACAGAGCTGTTTACTATCTGAACATACAGAGCCCTTTCTTTACCTCCTGAACTTACATAACGCTCTACTAACTGAACCAACAGAGCTGTTTACTATCTGATCATTCAGAGCCCTTTCTTTACCTCCTGAACTTACATAACCCTCTACTAACTGAACCAACAGAGCTGTTTACTATCTGAACATACAGAGCCCTTTCTTTACCTCCTGAACTTACATAACGCTCTACTAACTGAACCAACAGAGCTGTTTACTATCTGAACATACAGAGCCCTTTCTTTACTTCCAGAACTTACATAACCCTCGACTAACTGAACCAGCAGAGCTGTTTACTATCTGAACATACAGAGCCCTTTCTTTACCTCCTGAACTTACATAACGCTCTACTAACTGAACCAACAGAGCTGTTTACTATCTGATCATTCAGAGCCCTTTCTTTACCTCCTGAACTTACATAACCCTCTACTAACTGAACCAACAGAGCTGTTTACTATCTGAACATACAGAGCCCTTTCTTTACCTCCTGAACTTACATAACGCTCTACTAACTGAACCAACAGAGCTGTTTACTATCTGAACATACAGAGCCCTTTCTTTACTTCCTGAACTTACATAACCCTCGACTAACTGAACCAACAGAGCTGTTTACTATCTGAACATACAGAGCCCTTTCTTTACCTCCTGAACTTACATAACGCTCTACTAACTGAACCAACAGAGCTGTTTACTACCTGAACATACAGAGCCCTTTCTTTACTTCCTGAACTTACATAACCCTCGACTAACTGAACCAACAGAGCTGTTTACTATCTGATCATTCAGAGCCCTTTCTTTACTTTCTGAACTTACATAACCCTCGACTAACTGAACCAACAGAGCTGTTTACTACCTGAACATACAGAGCCCTTTCTTTACTTCCTGAACTTACATAACCCTCGACTAACTGAACCAACAGAGCTGTTTACTATCTGAACATACAGAGCCCTTTCTTTACTTCCTGAACTTACATAACCCTCTACTAACTGAACTAACAGAGCTGTTTACAGTCTGAACCAGCAGAACAGTGTACAAGCTGATCCTATGTCATGTTTTACAATCTGAACCAACAGAGCACATTGCTGTCTGAACTACTCCAACTTTTACTGATCCACCAGAATGATGTGCTCGCTAGTCCAACTGAATCCTTTACGTTCTGAATGATCAGAACCTATATGACCCTTGAAATCAGAATTAACAGGCTCAGAAACACATCATATGAAAGTCCTATTTTTGATAATTATGTTTGTGTACATATATGCCTTATGACTATGATTGTGTCACTACAGCATCCTGCCATCGAGACCCATGTATCAACTGACTGTATCAAACACTAAGCAACACATAAATTCATCACAGTGTAATCAACAGTAAAGGTAGAAATGGTTAAAACAAAAATAGCCAATCTGATCACTTGCTCTTCAATATATTTGTGTTATAAAGCTTTATATTTGCCATTACAGAGTAAATGTCTCCTTGTGACGCCATATAAGTGTCTGCTACCTATACAGGCTAATATATGCAAGGAATATAACTAATAAACTGTATAACACATTTAATATACATATTTGAAAGAAACAAATAACAAATCACCTAAAATATTTTCTGATGGACTGGAAATTATATAAAACATTTCTCACCTTACAATGAGATTTATAAAAATGTTCACTGTTTTGCTCAGAATTTCAAGTTTTTCTGATCACTCAGTGTATTTAGTTACAGCCGTCAGTACCACTGTGAGATGTTGAAGGATAGCCTGTGTGATGCATCTTAAAGACGTTCCTATCTTTATCGTCAGTACTACTGTGAGATGTTGAAGGATAGCCTGTGTGATGCATCTTAAAGACGTTCCTATCTTTATCGTCAGTTAGGTAGAAGTACAGGAGACTGGCCAAGGCTGACCCTCAGGGTGAATCTGATCAGGCAGATAAGGGATGCAACTCTGTATAGTAGCTTTCATGCACTAGTTAGCCCAAAGGAAATCATTTTTTTATGAAAACATGCCATCCCATGTTTTAACTATACTATTCACACTTTGCTAAGGATCAAATCATCGATTCAACAGAAAACTATGATATGGGGTCTAAGTTGGTTTAAATATCTAAGCTTATTGTAAGCATGGATCCGAGGTTTCAGTATGTCATTGCATCTTGTGGATCCCATAACTGCTATTGACAGGTGTTGTGTACTTGTCAGTGACTCGTTCCATGATTTGCAAAATGGTTGATTGGTGCCATGAAAACCATTTTTATGTTACTCATGTATCAAGTGCATAAGGTTAGATTAAAGTGGCTGTTTGCCTAAAGAAGGGTTACTGTATTATTCATCCAGTTTTAAAGGGATACACTTTCAAATGATACATCTATGTTTAAGTAAAGTGTGGAATTTGTGTGATCCTTAGCAAAGTGTGAGTAGTATAAATTTAATCCTATGTACTGAGAAATTCTGATATACAACTTGTGTCTAAACCCACATATAAAGTATATATTGAGCAACACATGAGGTCTTCTTGTGAACCATGAACTAAATATATAGTAGATCTGACTTGAATATATCTGATAAATAAATAATGACTTATATCATGACTAAGAAGCATGATTATATATATATATATTATTTCTACGTTCACACTATGAATCACAGCACATGATCGGTTGTACAACTTGGAATCTGTATCCAATATTGACTTAAGACATACATACAGCTAATGGCCAACAAAGAACTTCTGTCTAACTGTTACTGGCTCAAGATGGATACAGGCACATTACCACAAATAACTACTGGGAAAATTCACCAAAGAATAGGATTTGCATATGATTGGTCATCATACGATTAGCATACCTGTACAAAAAAGAAGAAGTTATATTTGGTTACGTTAAATAAGTTATGTCTGGGATTCCACTGTCTCCGAAAGTCGAAATTCTTGTGCTTCCGGTTGTTAGGTCCCATCCAGGATTCAAACTGAGACTTTAACAAATTCTGCAACCTAACCCACTCAGCAACCGCAGCTTGCACAAAAATGGAAGAAGAGCGCAACTGGTAGTCTAGACAACACATTTTGTACACCCTCAACCTTCATAATTACTAGAATATGTAGTTGACTGAGAAAGTGTAATATCCCCACCAAAACATGATACTTTCTAAAAAGCATTGTGTATGTGTTCAAGATGACACATCAAACTTAGTGGGGAACTGGCTGGTTCACAGTGTCTCTGTGTCTCTGTGAACCTAAAGTCAAAGTGTTTCATTCTATCAGTTTACAATTAAATTTTGTCATATATAATTGACAGTTTGATAAAATTTCAAGTTTACAGTGACAGATCAATAAGGCCCCCTAAAATATACACCTCCTTTAACACATATAGTTATATCCTTCAGCTGAATGTATGCACCCACACTGAAATGTTATCAGAAAGTTGCAATATGCTCCTCAACATGGAGAAAGAACTTACATCTACATACAAGGAACTCTTATTAGGGAGGGTAATTAACAACTTACCCCTATCAATTAGAGAGTCCATGACTCTAAGCTGTTTTGAAAGAAAAACCAACATGCAAACTCAGGGCTCCAGATAATTTTTCAACATCAGGATTACGGACTCCTTATTTTTTCAATATAGGAGTACTGGAAAACCTTAAGAGTACATTTAGAGTACTGAATGGAATTGAATGGAGTATCAGTAATCTTGTGTTTTGTTTCATATAAGCAGCACAAGATTGCTACTCTTGTGTAAACAGGTCAAAGAAATAAAACAATACTTTTTCAGATAAATACATCTGTAAATGATTCTAAGACAGTACACAATTGCTGTGGTGCGCATCTGCTTTCTAAATTATTTCCTACCGTATCATGCATATATTTTAGCCGTACATACGACAATACGGCCCTTATCTGGAGGTTTGAAACTAAATGTGCTCTTTGATATTTCTCCTTTGCTTAAAGAAAGCATAATATTTTGCTTACACAATTTGGCTATTTATGCCCTCAGTAAAATTATGGTAATTAGAATTGGTATAAATACCCCTTTATCATACAGCAAGAAATGTAATGATTAGAGCATAAATGAAATTTGTAAAATAAAGTTACTCTTGTTAACTACAATGTTTCACACAGTCCATATACATATCAAACTAAAAGAAATAATGTGACACACTGTTTCCTGCTATACATCTTTGAGAGTTCTTGTATCTTGTATATATTTCAATTGTACCATAATATACTTATTCTGTTTGTATATACACTTTGCTCTGTACACATTTAAAGTATGATATTATATGATGATAATCATGCTAATGTCTTTCTTTTTCGGGAGAGGACTAACTTAGTTACGAAAACTTGGGTTCAATCGTTTTCATTTGGAATAAAATGTTTAAATAATAAACCAGTGAAGTTGACACACGAGATTCACTTAACACACCAAAAAATTGGAAGCTAAACCTCTAGAGCAAGAGCATCTTTTTATATTGTAGTGGTTGTATTTATTCAACAGACATCACAAACATCCATCAATATGTATTACAGTTGTCTTTTGTAACTCAAGAAAGAAAAAAAATGTTATTGAAGTTTGATTTTAGTGCTCAAAAACAACTTATGATCACGAACATCCATGAACTTTATACATCAAAATAGTTTGGAGTGAAGTCAAAAATGGTGAGCAGTTAAAAAAGACAAGTAGGATCTGGTTCTAGGTTTGTGGATACATTTTACAGTCATGCCATAGAACACGTAAATGTGAGTGCAGGTGAACCATCTGGATACTGGCAGTGACAGGACACAAATACACAACACCACCCACAGCACAGGAATCACTAACATCGTAAATCTCAGTAATAAATAAAGTCTAACAATCGGTAAATAATTACAATTTCACACACAGCACTAGTCCACTATTAAACTGCAGACTGTTTTAATGATGTATTTATCGGTCACATGAAACACGGGCCTTAACAGTAAAAAGTAAGGGGAGACAATCCTAAAGGATGGAGTTTTCAAGGTGTATTATAACATGTCTCAAACATCTCCACAAAACTCCAAACTGGGAAGCATTTACTGCACTCTAGGGCTGTTACAATTCACTGGTATATTCAATTAATTGAACTGTATCATTTCATGAATTCAATTAATTATTTACCATCACCGCTATTGATTATTCATGATTGCTCTTAAATAGGAGAGTTTTTACTTGCATTTGGGAGTTAATTGTGTAATGTTCTGGTTGTTGATGATGATGATGATGATGACAATGTTGATGATGATCAAGATGAAGGCTGTTACAAAACAAAATCTTGACACAGAAAACAACATTTGATATGATTGTAATGATTGTGATGATCAAAATGATGACACACATACAAGATAATAAAATGCCAACAGGAATATGGACTGTTTTGATACAACACTGCAAACAGTGATACAAACACTAACAACAAGAAGATGAACTACAGTTTGCATGAAAATGTCTCAAATATCTAAAATAGGACCTTAGGCTCTGAAGCTCACCTGAAATTTTCTTGACTAATACAAAGATAAAAAAGTCGTAGAAATTTTAAGAATGTGAAATTTGCAATATAACTGCCATGACCTGTAGCTAGGTCAAATATCAAAATATCCCTGGCTAATATCTAACATATCGAGAAACTAGCAAAAAGTCAAATTTTCAATATGGCTGCCATGGTCGCCATGTTTCAGTATCAATTATGTCTGTTTCATGCCAGCTTCAGCAACATTATGACTGGTCAGATTATGATTAGTGTTCAATTTCAGCCTGGTTGATTTGAAGGGGAAGTAAAACATAGCCATGTGAAGGAGAGATGAAATTACATCTTTACCATAACATAAGCTCACTTGACTTGCAGCATATTCAGTCAGGTGAACTGAAAACAGGATAAATTGCCCAAAATACATTTTCTAACAACTTGTCAGATGGCTTGCCATGGAAGAAGCTTGATGTCATCCCTGGTCTCAAGATGATGAATGTTACAAAAATATTTCAGTGTTTATATCTCTGTTTGATCTAGGGGAGTTCAGGGCTTCAGCAGTCATCACTTGGCTGCAGGTGCAGCCTCCTCTGGCAGTGTTCTGTCCATGTGCCGATTCAGTGACATGGGGAGCTGTGCTGCCTGTAGGAACAGTCCTGTCTGGTAACCAACTGGAGGCTTCCTTTCTGGAGGTAGTCCTGCAGCAAATAGTAGATTCCTCCATGTGGAGGACAGTCTGCTCATGGACAGTTTCTCCTTCACATACCATGACCCAACTCTCTCATACTGGTTGTTGATGGCGAGGTAGAATGGGTCATCTGGCTGAAGTGCTATTGCTGGACGATGGCTTAGATATTGTTTGAAGAAGTGAACACAGCATCGGGACTGATAATGAGGGAGTGAATACACTCGGAGACAATGGATTGGCTGCCCAGAAGTTCCAGATCCCGCATATTCCAAGAACTGTCTTCCTTCTTTGTCAGTGTTAAGAATGATGTCTCCCCATCGGAGAGAAAAATGTTCGCTGCCTTTGATTCCGAAACACATGACATTCATCAACCACAGAGTGTTGAGCAGAACATCAGGAGACGCTGCTCCCAGCTGCCCTTTTTCAAACAGGAGGTCAATGTCCGAGGAAGTCATATTCCGTTTGTTGATGGGTGAGGACTTCTGTTTGACTCTCAGCTCTTCACATCTTTTCCTTAAAGCTTGACGTGAGTTCTTGAACACTATTGCCCTTGACCCGGACATGATGAAGTTCTCAAACAGATGAGATTCCAGGTAGTATTGGATACTTCTGAGGGAACTGACGGTGAAGTCGTCCCCATTTCCTTTCTTAGATGTTGCATAGAAGTCACTAAGCATAACATCGAGTTGTTCCTGAGGGATGGTGTCTAAGGAAGACATAGAACCTGACTTACTTTGGTGAAATTCACAGAACAGCCTCAAAGCATATCTCTGACAGTTCAGCTGAGCGTTCCTCTTTCTTTGAATATCTGTCACCTGAACTGACGATGTCATATAATCAGATAAAACACTTTGGTCCATCCCTGACAACGTCAGACTGGCATTGACATCGGCAATAGAGCTGTCAGTATGGTCAGTGTCCATGTCATCAATGTCCAGGTCTATGACATCTTCGGGACAGTCTGTAAGTGAGGCCTCTAGTTTGTGCTGCCTGTCTGCTGCCTGCACCATCTGTACTGAGTGTCTGCTGCTGGACTGACCGTAACCTTGAGGCAGCATCTGCATGAACACCTCCTGCTGACTGCGACTGGAGGAGACCGACGCACCACGGCTCCTCACCAAGGAGGTGTCCATGGGGACTTGGGAGTGAACACAAGGGGAGAGACTTGCTGAGACACTGGGGCGCGAGAATCTGTCTTCAGAACTGTGGGCGGGCTGAGCTATTGCTGATCTTGATGCTTGAAAGTAAAAATATTACCAATCAAGTATAGATGACGAGATTATCAGATAATATACACCTGATGTAAGCATGATTTGGTCAACATTTGACCAAGTCATATCATCTTCATCATGTTTACGCTTTTCAGTCTGTAACAGCAGGAGAGAAATACAGAGGTCAGAATGAGTAATAAACAATGTTCTTATAGTATTTGAAACAAGACAATAATTATTTTAAAATTAACTCGCGTACCGGTGCATAGATAAAATAGCTGAGGTATATTGAGAGGTTCTATTTCAACAGATGAACTTGGCAACTTGCAGTCTTTCTTATCGTTTCCCATAGTACAGGTCCAATATAAATAACATTCCAACTTTATTATATTTTCACAATTAATGGAAAATGGCAAAATACCCAATTGAGTTTGAGTGAGGTGGGTACAATATATTTGGTTACTCAAAGGAAAATTAAGATACCCAATTAAGATGAACACAAGCAAGTGCATAACTCAATGACCCCAAAAGTCTTTTTAACTTTCAACAAGCGTCATTAAGCTCATAATCAACACATATTATAATGCACAGATTTGACAATTTTGAGTGTACACATGTAAGATAAAATTTATTGAGTATTTACAAAAATTCAAGCCTACTTGTATGCAATTGACTTAATAAGAATTGAGGTTTCACATAAATATTGGCATAATTTACACAGATACACAGCTTATCTGTACAACTCATTTATGTTTCAAGATCTATAGCATAGTAGGAAACATTTACTAATAAAGATATTTTCATAGAATTCTTACCTGCAAATGCCTCCACCATATGACCGAGACTGGAGAGATTAGCATGGATGCCCACTGGCACAACTTGACTAAATCCCTCCCCATGATCTGTGGGGCTGGTGGGATGGCTTTTTGGCCTGAACACAAGACTGCCTGGTGCTTGAGCCCTCCACCTTGACTGACTCCAGGTCTACAGGAGTGTCCGAGGGACTGGCCAGGCTGGTACTGCTGCTGCTCCGGCCTCGGTTGGATATGTGAGCGAAACTCGGTAGGCTGTCTCGTCTCTGTACCTGATGCCAGCTGCGACCTGAATCTGAGCATGTCCTGGACTGGATCTCCTGAGACAATCTCTGTGCAGCATCCCAGGACATTCGAATGCTGTTTCTTTGTCGGGGTCAAAAGACGTTCGTTTTGATCGCTGCCCTGATGTGACACGCAGGTTCTCTGTGCCATCTGAGCTATAGTTAGAAACAGAACCATTTTCTGATTCTCGGATGTCTGTTAAACTTTCAATGGATTTATTGCTAGAGATGCTGCCTCTTCGTTCCTGAGATATCTTGTGCCTGGGTTTGTCTGCAGGTGCTGGTGTATTCACTGACCAAGACTCTGGATCATTCTGTGATGCTGACTTCTGACTTGCTGATGGTAATGGTGGCAAAGTGCGAAAAACCTTTGTGCAGTAGCTCTCACTTACAACACTGCCACAGTTTTGGACAAGTTCACTCAGCACGTAACGTTCTTTCTTAGAATTGTCTATTTCAACACAAACATAGCCACTAACTTCAATATTTCTATCAAACTTAATATAAGCTTGGCAAAGTTTTTGAAGATTTGCAATAAAAGTTGAGAAGAACTGAACAGAATAATCTTTCTCCATTGCTTGAGTGTTCAACATTCCTTGGAAGATAAGTTACACTTATTATCTTAAGAGTTGAAGCACATTTTCTGAAAGAAAAAGAAACAAAATTAGAACTATGTACAACTAAATGATAAGAATCCATATCAATATTAAATTCAGTTTGTCAATGCATCTTACCATTCAAACAGAACTACATCTGATGCATACAGTCTACTTCTGATACATCAGGGCGTCTGTGACCCCCTACTTTCAAGTAAATATGGTGATGGGCATTAACAAGATACCCTTAGAAACATAATTAGTTATTTCTAAATTAAGGTATTGATAAGTCTTGTTTACTTTGTTTGTGTTGATCCATTTACTAGTCGGATTAGGAGCTACAAATCAGATACTGTATTAAGATATTTAATTTCCCACAAAAATGATCAGGTTAATTAAGAATTATTTCATACTTACAAATGTCATGTCAGTGATGGTCTGATAAGTGAGTGTGTTCAAAGTGTAAACATTTCTCGTGTCCCCAGAAAACTTAACTAAACTAACTCACTTTCTAAAATTGTAAATTGATATGCTTAAATTTACTCAGAAAACTTTATCTAACCGCCATGTTCCCACACTCAAGTTGTTTAAAAGGAAGAAAAACTCCATCTTTGAGAGGATCGGAATATGGAGCAGTTGTTTCTTCGTGTAAATTCTAATTTGCTTATTATGGACTATGATTTAGTAAGTTTGATAGGTTTACTTGAATGAAGATCAATTCTAATCCGGATCTTCACGGGTCCAGTAATCTTTATATCTGTGTATAAACCTATACCTAGCAGAACAGGAAATACAATTCAAATGGTAAATCAACATGTCTTGTGATAATTTATCTTGGATTTCACATTTTATCGGACAAGTTTTTATCAGTTCTTTGCTTATCTAAAGTCTCTGAAGAGACACTGTGCACATTTTGGCTATGCATAATACAGAAGTTCACCGATAGCTTCACACTGTAAGTCTAGTGTGCATTGATCAACAAAAAAAGCATACTAGCTAGTCTTGATGTACCTCTTTATTGAATATCCTTTGTGAATGACAACTTCTCATTCTTTAACCACAACCCCTGGTAGGTGTTGCTTTGTGTAGCGTGGCGATAATACCCCTGAAGTGAAGACAAGTAAAACCTGTCAAAATTCTGTGTAGAAACAACCGATCCATATTTCAATGTAGTCCAGCATATAACTAGACGACTTTGCACTATACCAAGGTGTGCTCGACGTCTAGCCGGCGAATTCAAGTTCTTTGACGCACTTCACTAGGCAGAGAGGCACAACGGATTTAGGCATAAACGAGGGTAGAAACTCAACCTAGCGACTAATACATGTGCATGGATTGATTAAACTTTCATTCTTCTTCAAAACAAAACACTTACCTCCTCTAAAAACGACTCATTTTATTACTTAAATGACCTGAAACATAGAGACCCCACCTACTTTCCACTATTTGTCGGCCATACTGTTATGGTAATTAGCGGTTGAATAAAAAAATGGAAACGCATTAAAACGTATTTAGGAACAAATAGAAACTGCTAAAAGTTTGTCCCCCTTCCTCAGACTTCAGAGCGTCATGTAATCACGGTCCGTTTAATACGATTCCTTTTTTTTTATACAACTGCTAATAGACATAACCAAAATGGTCGGCAAATGGAGGAATGTTGGTTGGGGTGTTTATGTTTCAGGTCATTTAGTAATAAAGTGAGTCGATTTTAGTGGAGGTAAGTGTCTCGTTTTGAAAACGATTGTTTGTTTTAGTAATACATGCACATGCATTAGTCGATAGGTTGAGTCTTCATTCTTGTTTTTGCCTAAAACTGTTCCGCTCAAATTTTTGCGGAAAGGTGCGTCAAAGAAAATGCACTCGCCGTATAAACTCTATGTAGGCCTTGGCTGGAATACGAGTTTAGTTTCATATGAACTAATTTCAATGGAGTTTGGTTTCCTTTTAATTAATAAACAAAGATACAGTTATATCAGTGACAAGAATTTGTTGCTATTCTAATAGTCAAGAGCTGTGATGCGGTCTTCAAGACATGACTGTCTTGACTGTATAAAACCGCATCGCCGTTATCGGCTACTATTCTCAAGTTTGTTGAGATGAACTTGTAGTTGTACTTCTTACTTAACTTACAGTGACACTACTCATTGATACAGTGGTGTAACAGATTTGACGTAACGATTTGGTTTGTTCTATCATAACTTGCCTGTTAGCATCTTTGTAACATTCTCAGATATACATTTGAAATTTAGATGCACAGGGCTTCTATGTTGCCAGGGATTTTTATCATAATGTTCCTATCAGATTAATTGACTACTTAATTTTCTGTTGATATACGTTTGCGAGTGTCGTCATCCTAATCTCGCAAAATCTTCAACCTTTACAAAGAGGTCTAGCATCATAAGCGTTGAATACATGTCAGTGTCTCTGTAACTGTCAGATTGGACAGTCGACGGTCGGATGGTGGTGATGTTGCAAATTCACATAAATGGATATTTATACTCACATACTTCTCTTAAGTAAGATGATATGTTGTATGCTGCATAATGATCCCTTTGCGCATGTTCCTATAGGCCAAAAATGTGCTAAAACGGTGCAATTATCTAAATTATTACTGCAATCATAAGCCTTGTTTATGCACCGGAAACAGCTCCCTGTTTCAAGGGACATAACTCCCAATAACATAGTATTCCCGGAAAAACATATTGTGTATGTATAATTGAGTGATATGGCGTCTGTTGTCCAATTGTGTGCACTTGATATGTACGTGTACTCTGACGTTATGGAAGACTGATGTTGATTAGCCGCAGTCAGCTGCATTTTTGCACATTCACCAAGAGTTGCTCTGATGCCACTTCATGTAACTAGGACATTTCTGATTCTACATTAAAAAATATCCAGTCACATCCTCACGTCCTCACAAAGAACAGTTGAATAGACATTACTGGAACACTTCTAGTATGGACAATCAAACCCAAATGCTAGAGAGTGTTGGTTCACTGGGAACGTTGAAAGTAAAAAAACGACTGCCATAGCTGTATAATTTGACTTTCGTTTTTCTAAAAGATTGAGTATGAGCCAACAAACAACATTAACTCTTATTGGTGTATTTCTTCCGTTGTCCAGTCATATCAACTAATAACAATAAAAAAGCTTCTGATAAAGAAATAAATGGCATATAAATATATCTTCCAGGATTTGAACAGTGAAAACATATACTAGTACATGTATCTAGTTATATAGTTGACGATGATTTCTGTAAATGTGCACACTTTATTTCACATTTATAACTCATTAAGTTGAAAAGCAATATCGAAGTCAAATCTTACAAATGCGCGAGGGATTAATCGATTTCTGACGATTCAATCAATAATTCACATTTTGTAGTTAGAATGTTCTTGTTAGAATGTCATGTTGATAACCTCGTACTCATATTCAGGCCATTGGTCTTCATGCCTTAGAGCGTGTGGTATGAGAGAACAGTTCCATACTATTTGACCTCTAGACATTCTCCATACCTCCATATACATATACGGGCGGTGGGATAACCTAGTGGTTAAAGCGTTCGCTCGTCACGCCAAAAACCCGGGTTCGAGTCCCCACATGGGTACATTTTGTGAAGCCCATTTCTGGTATCTCCCGCCGTGATATTGCTGGAATATTGCTAAAAGCGGCATAAAACCATACTCACTCATTCATCTTTGAGTAAGACTCGCTTTGGACTGCTGTAGTTGTAGAATTTGGGTTTTGATTTATGTTCTTGACTGCTGAGGTAGTTAAAAGATCACATATGAGTTGATCAGGACATACAGCTTGTTCCTTTGAATAGAACTGACAGGCCTTGTATCCTAGCTCAGCAGAAGTGGCCAGGGCATGAACTACGAGATCGAACGAAGAGTCAACTAAATATAGTTTTAATGTGAACCCAGATTCCCAGGTTTTTGTTTGTTTGTTTGAGGTTTAACGTTGCACTCGGCAATATTCCAGGTATATGGCAGTGGTCTGTAAATAATTGAGTCTGGACCAGACATTCCAGCGATGACATGTGTCAACCAAGTCAGCGAGGATTGACCACCCGATCCCGTTAGTCGCCTCTTACGACAAGCACGGGATGCTGAAGACCAATCTTCCCGGATCTTCGAGGGTAGATTCCCAAGTAACTTGCAACGACTTTTCGCACAGTTCCACTTTTCTCTGCTGAATGTTACCAAAGAATTTTATGCTCACTACTCTTGACAGCGGTTGTTGAAAGTACCAGCAAACCTATTCAGTTACATCTATCAATGTATTTATTTCATATCTATATATGGTTTTATATACTTCACTACTTAACGCATTACTGTTTATCAATTTGCAATATGTCTATTACATGTATATAGTGATATCTTTAAGTGATGTTGGACATCTTCATTTTTATAAAACAATGTAATGCAGCACGACTTTGAATTGCAGTAGTGAAACTTACTGAAAGTACAAATTATTACTGTATTTTAATAAACAGTGTAGAAAATGTCACTACACACATCAAAGTTTCATTCATGTCCAACTTAATACAGAACGACCATTCGCTTGATATATATGGCCACCAATGCTGCAATTGTAAAATTGCGATTTGCCATGTACTTAAAATCTATTATATTACATACCCGCTCTGTGTGAAAATGTCTCATGCTCTTAACCGTAAATATACACAATCCACCCAGTTACGTAAATTTAATTACAAGTGAAATCTCAACAATATCATTAATTATTAACCATATTATAAATTTGCTTCAGGAAATGTATAGTATTACGTTTTCAACATGAAGCTGAGTTACCTGTAGATTCTACCACCTCACACTGACTGTGGAAACTGTCAGTGGTATTTTGGTATCAGATTTACATTACATGTCTTCATTAATATACGTTTGACCATAGGATTATTTAGACAGATCAACTGTCACGGTCTTACTGTAGGTCCACAACTTGTGTGTGTCGAGCATACAGCATTTACAAAGCTTCTTACGTTCATACTGTACATTGTAAATGACATTGTTCTTGCTTGACTACACTTAACCTGCCGGCTTACATTACGGGTGTTTCCAGAACTGCGACATGTTTCTACAATACAACGTGACGTCATTGTCTTAATCATGCCTATAGCCGTGTTGATTGTTCTAGAGTGTCCTGTTGATGTATATATATAGCCCAATGTTGAAACCCATGTACACATTTACACTGACAGGACATGTGAGTAGACTCATATCTTCGTTCCCTTTAACGTCACAGCAATACTTGTGTTGCTGCCTTGTGATGTCTTGAGGTGTTTGATTACCATTTTAGCCAAGTGAGCTAGCTGGGATCGTAGATAGCTGACACAAGACTGATACGTACATTCCTTTCTTAACAATACCGTACTGCTTTAATGACTGTATTGTGATGTTTGTGAGTGGGGGTGTAGCAGATAGCTAGCACGTGGTTGGTGTGTACATTCTCTTAACGATACTGTACTGCTTCAATGACTGTATTGTGATGTTTGTGAGTGGGGGCGTAGCAGATAGCTAGCACGTGGTTGGTGTGTACATTCTCTTAACGATACTGTACAGCTTTAATGACTGTATTGTGATGTTTGTGAGTGGGGTGTAGCAGATAGCTAGCACGTGGTTGGTGTGTACATTCCTTAACGATACTGTACTGCTTTAATGACTGTATTGTGATGTTTGTGAGTGGGGTGTAGCAGATAGCTAGCATGTGGTTGGTGTGTACATTCTCTTACTGTACGACTGTATTGTGATGTTTGTGAGTGGGGGGTGTAGCAGATAGCTAGCATGTTGGTGTGTACATTCTCTTAACGATACTGTACAGCTTTAATGACTGTATTGTGATGTTTCTTAGCAGATAGCGCATACATTCTCTTAACGTACAGCTTTAATGACTGTATTGTGATGTTTGTGAGTAGGGGTGTAGCAGATAGCTAGCACGTGGTTGGTGTGTACATTCCTTAACGATACACAGCTTTAATGACTGTATTGTGATGTTTGTGAGTGGGGGTGTATAGCGATACAGACTGTATTGTGATGTTTGTGAGTAGGGGGGTGTAGCAGATAGCTAGCACGTGGTTGGTGTGTACATTCTCTTAACGATACTGTACAGCTTTAATGACTGTATTGTGATGTTTGTGTACATTCCTTAACGAGTAGGGGTGTAGCAGATAGCTAGCATGTGGTTGGTGTGTACATTCTCTTAACGATACTGTACAGCTTTAATGACTGTATTGTGATGTTTGTGAGTAGGGGTGTAGCAGATAGCTAGCACGTGGTTGGTGTGTACATTCCTTAACGATACTGTACTGCTTTAATGACTGTATTGTGATGTTTGTGAGTGGGGTGTAGCAGATAGCTAGCACGTGGTTGGTGTGTACATTCCTTAACGATACTGTACAGCTTTAATGACTGTATTGTGATGTTTGTGAGTGGGGTTTGTGAGTGTAGCAGATAGCTATGGCTGTACAGCACGTGGTTGGTGTGTACATTCTCTTAACGATACTGTAATGTTTCAATGGTGTAACACGATTAATTGTGTCGTGTACACACTCATCAGAGATATGCCAAAAAGGAGAGGTAATTATCACTGACTGGAGATGACCAAAGGGAAGGCGAGGGGCTACTAGCACTGATTGGTGATGGCCCGAGGAAGGCGAGGGGTAACTGCACTCATAAGTGATGGCTAAAGGGAAGGCGAGGGGCAACTAGCACTGATTGGTGATGGCCAAAGGGATGGCGAGGGGTAACTGCACTGATAAGTGATGGCCAAAGGGAAGGCGAGAGGTAACTAGCACTGATTGGTGATGGCCAAAGGGATGGCGAGGGGCAACTGCACTGATAAGTGATGGCCAAAGGGAAGGCGAGAGGTAACTAGCACTGATTGGTGATGGCCAAAGGGAAGGCGAGGGGTAACTGCACTGATTAGTGATGGCCAAAGGGAAGGCGAGGGGTAACTAGCACTGATTGGTGATGGCTAAAGGGAAGGCGAGGGGTAACTGCACTGATTAGTGATGGCCAAAGGGGAAGGCGAGGGGTAACTAGCACTGATTGGTGATGGCCAAAGGGAAGGCGAGGGGTAACTAGCACTGACTGGTGATGGCCAAAGGGAAGGCGAGGGGTAACTATCACTGATTAGTGATGGCCAAAGGGAAAACGAGGGTTACTGCACTGATTAGTGATGGCCAAAGGGAAGACGCGGGTAACTGCACTGATTGGTGATGGCCAAAGGGAAGGCGAGGGGTAACTATCACTGATTAGTGATGGCCAAATGGAAGGCGAGGGGCAACTAGCACTGATTGGTGATGGCTAAAGGGAAGGCAAGGGGTAACTGCACTGATTAGTGATGGCCAAAGGGGAAGGCGAGGGGTAACTAGCACTGATTAGTGATGGCCAAAGGGAAGGCGAGGGGTAACTAGCACTGACTGGTGATGGCCAAAGGGAAGGTGAGGGGTAACTAGCACTGATTAGTGATGGCCAAAGGGAAAACGAGGGTAACTGCACTGATTAGTGATGGCCAAAGGGAAGACGAGGGTAACTGCACTGATTAGTGATGGCCAAAGGGAAGGCGAGGGGTAACTATCACTGATTAGTGATGGCCAAAGGGAAGGCGAGGGGTAACTATCACTGACTGGTGATGGCCAAAGGGAAGGCAAGGGGTAACTATCACTGACTGGTGATGGCCAAAGGGAAGGCAAGGGGTAACTATCACTGACTGGTGATGGCCAACGTCTGTTGCTGATTTGACATGTACTTTACGAAGTAACTATATATATATATTTGATGTAGATTATACGAAAGACGACATCATGGCAAAGGCAGCATATACGGTCACCAAAAACGATATGACGGAATTAAAGGCACTATCTCGCCCACCTCGGCTGGTTAAAGAGCTCCTGACAGTGACATTGCTGCTACTGGGCTACTCGGAGAAACAGGCTGCAGTAAGTCACGCCGGGGTGATATAGTGAAAATAACAAACATATGATAAACCAAACAATCTAAATAACCACCTACAGTGATAATTATAATTATAACTGGCCATTTTAGATTTTGTCAGTGCATTAATGTTCATTAGACCTTTAGTTTGGGGACTCTGAGATAGCCATGAGGTTATCGACCCGGGTTTGCACCCAGTCCCTATATGGGTGCAGCGTGTGATGCCCTCGCCCTGATATTGGGAAATAACATCTAAAAGCGGCAGAAAATCACACTCACTTACAGATAAGATTTGAACTGTACACACAGCCTAATACATGGCATACGTGAATACTATTAAGTGATATTTTCCAAGTCTTTAATTAATGTTTAAAGGATTAAATGTGGTAGAATCACAACAACAAATTAAGAAAGCAGATACGCACAACATACTTGAACCTGCCGATAATTTTCTTGAGCAACGATTGGCTGATGCTCGTATCATTATAATCACAATTTGTGAATTATTGGTTTTCCCCAGAACTATAAGGTATGCATGCTTGTGATGGCTGACCCGGGGAAGGATGGTCTGCTGCAGCAGATGAAGAACATGGACGCCAGCTCCATACCTCCAGACACCGTGGCCAAAGCCAGGACAATGCTCCAGGAATGCTCACTCGAAAAAGTGTTGAAAGTATCATTAGCTGCAGGTGGCCTTTACAAATGGGTATGTGATGGCTTGGTGTATCATAGTTTATACTTCAGTGACAAACATTCTGAAGATATTGATGCTTACAAATTGACTGACAAAAACGCTGAGGAAACCTTGACTTTACATATCCAGTGTTAGTGCTGTCCACGGATGTCACGTTAAATGATTATCTGAAACAGACACAGCTTCCCATATTCAACAACGCTGGTATATGGGGATAGGCAACATCCCAGAAACGTGCTGGGTCTCCGAGTAAATTAATGAAGTTTCCTTTCACTTATTTACAATTTGTGGCACCTATTGTTTGATTAAACAAGTTTATTTTCTATACATTCAAGGTGGCAATGATAATAGCCTAAGCTGCAGTTCATTGGAGATCTTCATTTGTACATCATCTGATGTACAGAACCAACCAACCTACCACCATCTGATGTACAGAACCAACCAACCTACCACCATCTGTTACACAGACCCAACCAGTCTACCGCCATCTGATACACAGAACCAACCAGTCTACCACCATCTGTTACACAGAGCTAACCAGTCTACCACCATCTGATACACAGAGCTAACCAGTCTACCACCATCTGATACACAGAACCACCCAGTCTACCACCATCTGATACACAGAACCAACCAGTCTACCACCATCTGATACACAGAACCAGCCAGTCTACCACCATCTGATACACTGAACCATCCAGTCTACCACCATCTGATACACAGAACCAGCCAGTCTACCGCCATCTGATACACAGAACTAACCAGTCTACCACCATCTGATACACAGAGCTAACCAGTCCACCACCATCTGATACACAGAACCACCCAGTCTACCACCATCTGATACACAGAACCAGCCAGTCTACCGCCATCTGATACACAGAACTAACCAGTCTACCACCATCTGATACACAGAGCTAACCAGTCCACCACCATCTGATACACAGAACCAGCCAGTCTACCACCATCTGATACACAGAACCAGCCAGTCTACCACCATCTGATACACAGAACTAACCAGTCTACCACCATCTGATACACAGAGCTAACCAGTCCACCACCATCTGATACACAGAACCATCCAGTCTACCACCATCTGATACACAGAACCAACCAGTCTACCACCATCTGATACACAGAACCAGCCAGTCTACCGCCATCTGATACACAGAACTAACCAGTCTACCACCATCTGATACACAGAGCTAACCAGTCCACCACCATCTGATACACAGAACCAGCCAGTCTACCACCATCTGATACACAGAACCAGCCAGTCTACCACCATCTGATACACAGAACTAACCAGTCTACCACCATCTGATACACAGAGCTAACCAGTCCACCACCATCTGATACACAGAACCATCCAGTCTACCACCATCTGATACACAGAACCAACCAGTCTACCACCATCTGATACGCAGAACCAACCAACCTACCACCATCTGATACACATTCACAATGATACAAAGGAATATATATATTTGTCTTTATGTCTATGAGTATTTATGGCCATTTATTTATATTCTTGTTTCTCTTTTTCTTCATTTGAGCACACACAATAAAACCAAAAGAAGTATTGGTCCTAAAAAGTAACGTGTCTGGTTGTAATATTTTTTATGTGAACAATAAACAAAATGAATAAACTGTGTCTATTCCTATTTTGAAGTTCACATACCCAACCAAATTTAAAACAAACTTGATTCCACCGTAAACGTGGAGCACAATGAAATCGTGTCAGGACAGGTCATGTGTATGGTCTTATGTGTCTGTGCACAGTCGAATCCTGGTGGTCTGTGCTGACACTCTAGCTCTGAACAACTATCTGCTGGTGGAGCGGCATCCCAGGCCTTGTGCGATCTTTAGGGCTGCCAGTCTATTGCACACCGGTCCACTGTTCTGACGTCTCCAGCTCAGGACTGAGCACTTGAACTGGTCATGGGATGGACACTCTCAGCATAATTTGTTTATGGTCAATGACAAGTGCTACGATAGTAAAATATGTCCTACATACCACACACACACACACACGCACACATACACGCACTCACGCACACTCGCACACGCACACACACACATTCATGACTGATATGATCAACGGTAAAGACAATGTTTCATAAAAGTTATTGCCTCTGGCGAATGGAAGATCCCAGATGGTAAGAAAACACTATATCCTCTACCTAAAACCAGTCCAAGTAGAAACACACGAATAACGTAATTTGAGAAAAATAAGAAAACAAAACCCGTTTTCTACACAAGTTGGAAAGTTCCGACTGATTGGTGATCTGAAACGAGAGTTACTCTAGAAATGGAGAAAGTATTTTTCTTCTGGACAATGAGGAACCATTCTCAGAGGTCATACTTCCAAACCTCCAGAGAGCCCTCCAAGTCTATTACGCGAGGAAAGAAATATCAACGTTTACAACGGAGTAATTCTGATATTTCAAGTTCTTCATAACTATAGTTTTGTTCAAAATACCATTTCAACCTACGTTTGTGCTAGGAAGTGGTACATTGCAGGAGAGGCCCTGGATTGTTTTTAACTCTGTAAATACTTGAGGGGAAACATTTGTAAAGAATACAGACCATGAACCGAGAATTTCATAACGAGAGTAGTCAGAAGATAAGGGTCATTGTCAACCAGTAGCATCACTCAAGTCTTCTCCATGCCTTCCGTTGCGCCTTGGGAGTCTGTCCTAGATGGTGATACATGTAAATCGGGAATACAGATCTGTTGCGTTTATCGTGTGGAGCTATGGTAAGTGCACATCTGTTTGTAGAGTTATATTCTCCTGGCAAACTCTGGGACGATGATAGTTTTGTTGCAGGGGTCAGAAAACAATCATATATCTGTCCGTAAACAATTCGGTCTGAAATCAACAAGCAACTAGGAAAGATTATACAATTAAAATTCTACCATTAATACTGGATTGTTATTGCTTAATCAAAGTCATTCAGCTTTTATTATTTCGTTATATACCTCTAATATTTTCAACACAGTATGTGTATCTCCTAAATGACTTTGTCGGCACTTGTGCACGTGCTTCGTTACACTGGCTGTTCCTCCCATTGCAGTCCTCCCTCGTACCTAATAGCGAACTGTGTCCAAATTTTAATGATAGTTTGTTAAACAACTTTTATTTTTAGGTCATAAATTCTGCAAAAAATCACAGAGTTGGTCTGATGTTATGATTATGATTAGTGTTTCATTGAGTATTCTATGTTTAGTTGTTTTCGAGTTAGATTGCAAATCATCGGTCCGATTTTAAACCAAACGGACTATAGTCTCAGTATTGTTCGTTACACTGCTATACTGAGTCTAACAAACGCTAGTAGAAGGTCTCGGGAGTTATAGCAATGTAAGGAATAATACTGAGCCTAAGTTTACTTAGACTGAACCCCAGTGGTGCTGTAACAGTGATATATCAGCGATGATAATATTCACCTGGCCGGAAAAGTGGCCACGCTTCCAAAATAGGTCCAGGCTGAGAGACCAGGGTAAATAGTGATCTTCCCACAACTGCTGACCTTGTTATAAAGTGCTCTTGACATTGACTTTTAAAGCTTCAGTAAATCTACTTATTTACATCTATCAATTTATATATTTCATATCTGTCTATGTTTTGATATGTACATGTACTCAACTAATTAATACGTTGAGTTATTTGAATGTCATAATTTTGATGTTTTTATGTATATGTCTATTATATAGAGATGGATTTAAGTGACATTGTACATCTTCATTTTAATATAAACGTAATGTAACATGACTTAGATGTGCAATAGTGAAAATAGCATTTTGACAAATTATAACAGTATGTTACAGTTTAGAACAGGTAACCACAACGTTTCAACCATGTCCAACTTCAACGAACCCGATCGGGAGGTCAGGCTCAATGACTTGGTTGGCACTGGATTGTCTGGTCCAGGCTTGATTATTTACAGACCGCTTCCACATAGCTGGAACATTGATGAGTGCAGCGTTAAACAACGAACAAACACTACTCGAGAGCATCCATGCACATAACCTTACACCACAACAACATAAGAGAAGACTGACTGACTGACTGACTGAGTTTGGTTTTACGCCGCTTTTAGCAATATTCCAGCAACATCACAGCGGGGGACACCAGAAATGGGCTTCACACATTGTACCCATGTGGGGATTCGAACCCGGGTCTTCGGCGTGACGAGCCAACGCTTTAACCACTAGGCTACCCCACCGCCCCACATAAGAGAAAAGGATTGGGAATTTCGATTTTGGATACGAGAGTTACATTTGTAAAATATCCGATTTGCCATAACCTACAATGTATTATACTACATAGCCTGACTGTGTGAACAGTTCCATGCAATAAATCGTAAATATAAAAACAAACAACCCATATTTCTACATTTAATTACAAGTCAAATCTTAACAACATTATTAATTGTGCGCATGCTTCAGGAAATACGTACATTGGTTTTAATATACAGCTGACTTACCTATAGATTCTACCACCTTATACTGACTGTAGAATCAAACTGTCAGTGGTATTTTGGTATCAGGTTTCCAATACTAGTCTTCATTAAGATACATGTTTACCATAACTTTATCAAAACAGATCAACGGTCTCACTGGAGGCCGACAAGTCTTGAGGGTCGAACACACAGCAATACTTACAAGTTTCATAAGTTCATACTGTACATTGTAAATGACATTGTTCTTGCTTGACTACACTTAACCTGCCGGCTTACATTACGGGTGTTTCCAGAACTGCGACATGTTTCTACAATACAACGTGACGTCATTGTCTTAATCATGCCTATAGCCGTGTTGATTGTTCTAGAGTGTCCTGTTGATGTATATATATAGCCCAAAGTTGAAACCCATGTACACATTTACACTGACAGGACATGTGAGTAGACTCATATCTTCGTTCCCTTTAACGTCACAGCAATACTTGTGTGGCTGCCTTGTGATGTCTTGAGGTGTTTGATTACCATTTTAGCCAAGTGAGCTAGCTGGGATCGTAGACAGCTGATACAATACTGATACGTACATTCCTTTCTTAACAATACTGTACTGCTTTAATGACTGTATTGGGATGTTTGTGAGTGGGGGTGTCGTGCATAGCTAGCACGTGGTTGTCGTGTACATTCTCTTAACGATACTGTACTGCTTTAATGACTGTATTGTGATGTTTGTGAGTGGGGGCGTAGCAGATAGCTAGCACGTGGTTGGTGTGTACATTCTCTTAACGATACTGTACTGCTTTAATGACTGTATTGTGATGTTTGTGAGTGGGGGCGTAGCAGATAGCTAGCACGTGGTTGGTGTGTACATTCTCTTAACGATACTGTACTGCTTTAATGACTGTATTGTGATGTTTGTGAGTTGGGGCGTAGCAGATAGCTAGCACGTGGTTGGTGTGTACATTCTCTTAACGATACTGTCATGTTTCAATGGTGTAACACGATTAATTTTGTCGTGTATACTTGGGTAATTATCACTGATTGGTGACGGCCATGGGAAGGCAGGGAATGATCAGCACTGACTGGTGAT